TCCTACCATTGTTCCTACGAAGGTGAGGTAGACCTATTGTTCAAAACGCATCGGCCTGCGAATGTATCTCAAGGTCAGGTGATTTCTCGGGGTAGCAACATCTGCAACGAATGAGAGCAACGATGCGAGGGCCTCACGATAGATCTCGATCTTCTTTCTATAATGCGATGTAGAGGATTACCGGCGACCGCAAATGCCGCCCAATACTATTAACAACAATAGCAAGCCATCCTACAGATTTGGCCGATAGGGGCCCATCACTAGCAGGTATTACGTTTCGAAAAACACAAGAGCGCAACGAGCCGCCATACTGCTGCTGTTCATGAAGCGTGTCGTCACAACGCCAGGAACTCTTACTCATATAAAATCTATTAACCTATTGTTGTAGAATGGTCGCATAGCAACAGACAGAAGTTGTACATTGCAGCTTTCGCTTTATCTTTCAAGGTAGCAATATTCGGCTGGAGGCTAGCGTGTAGACAAAACCATTTGCTCGCACGCACGCGTGCCCGGACAAATAATTTAGATGTTAAACTAAATGTCGTCCTTCGTTCAGGCAGAGCGAAGGAGACATATGCGTAGATACGCATTCTTGCGAAGAATGAACAAGGAACAGAAAGGAGTACCAGGACGAAGCGCAACCGCTACGAAAGGGTACGTAAATGGTAGGCAGCGGCGTCGCCATAATGCGCGCTGTCCTGTAAATGTAACCCTGTTATGTTTCGACTGATGCATTTAGTCTGATGCTTTTACCGTACCTATCACATGGGGTACATCGTACGCACCCAAGGGATTGTTTTTTGCGCGTTACGTCAAACACGAAAGTAGCGTGAGGTTTGGTATTGTGTCGGTTCGTTTCAGAAGTCAACGACGATTAGGGTATTTTTGCCGACTGATGGGTTAGAATTGCGAAATGATAACATATGTGAGAGATATGAACAGGACGGCGTATCTCCATCGTCCACTTAATTACTTTAGCGCTGAGTTTTTTAATAGCTTACTACTAGTTCGAAGCCTAGATGATTTTATTTACAAGCTGTATGATAAAATAAATGTACCAGAACGTGCATAATCCTCGCCTCATACGGTGGAATCTTTATGCCGCTCACTAATTACTGCTCGATTTTTCAATCCTTTTTATATATGGTATACGATAATCGAACTTCTATCCTCCGACATTTCCTGTATTTTTTTTTCATATGTCGTTTGCGTACTATTCTGCCTATATCCGCTTCGTTTATTCAAAACAAAAACTCTACATTTTTATCTAGTGTGGGTACATACACCACAGCCTTAACACTGTCCTGTGTCATACGTATTGTGTATAAGGGGCAAGCCATTGCAGACCCGTTCGTGGCCGCGATGGTTTCATTCTGTAGCAGCAATAGCAACAATATTTGCAACCGTTTGCCCTTGTGCCGCTAACACATCTAGAACCAGCGTCCTAATAAACGCTATTTTTAGCCTTTTAGCAACATGACCGACGACGACGACGACGACCGCTGGCAAGATGATCAGCGTTCTCCTCCTTCGTTGTAGCCCTTGCCATCCGTGAGTGTTGTTAGATACAGCTCAGCAGTCCACATGCGACACCATAGTAGAGTATTCAGTAGCCAACGAGTTGAGGCCCCGCTGGCCAGCAGGGCATGACATACTATAGCATTGCTATACTCAATTGCCGCTATCGAGAGCGACATAATCTTCACCTCTGAGCGGCGCTCACCTGGCAAGCTGCGACCAGCCTAAGCAGCTAGCTGCAGACAAAATCACTGCAGGTATGCCAGGCTAAGGTGGATACAACTGCTATTTCTAGGCTAACGAATACAGCCCTGCGCCCTAAGAATTGCAGATTGAGTATCTGCCAACTATCACCTGCGTATGAGCCCCTACCCACTGTGGCCAGTCAGTTAATTTCGCTGCTGTTAAAGCCTATATGGCCAGCAAAAAGCTCTGCATCCCTCTTAATGCTGCCTACAGATATTTAGATTTCGCTTGCGTAACCTCAGCCATTGCATTGACATCGATATTAACGCCTTCCGAACCCGGGCTAGCATCTTAGCCTTCATCAGTAGCTCGCCGCTACCTTTATGAACGCATACATCTTAGATAGTGGAACCTGACGTGGATATAATACCACGATGGCTTGGTTGACTGAAAAACCAGGAATCGCTGCTTCAAGTTCTGCTAATCGTTTAGCATGACGACAGATGTGGCTCAGTAAGAAAATTTAAGTTCAGAGATTGGCGGCAATATTTAACAGCGAAAGAGGGAGCGAGACGAAAGCTGAACGTAACGATAATAAATGCTCGTAAACAAGAGAAGTGGCAAATTTCTATTAAAGTTTAGGCTGGAACGCTGAGATATGCATTCAGTACCCGTCTACATTCAACGAACGTAAGCTGTATACGTCGAAGTATTGATGACGTACACACAAGTATGTGAGGTTCTCTTTGATTCACAATAGTATTTATCGTTATAGCTACCGGGGACTTGTCGGCCGCTGTTCACGAAAAGGTATGTTGCGTCTCAGTAGCTCATCTTTTCCATGCTATAACAATCGGCAATTAAATCGCCAGGTTGTTGTAAAGCTTGACTAAATAAATCCGGTATTATCGACTACAGAATGTTTTCTCCTAAAAAAAATCTTACTTGAATTTTAAAATAGGCTCTTACATTATGCTTCTGCGTATCGTAGACTCTGGGTAGGCCATTTAGCTGCAATTGAGTGACAAATACGAACATCTAGGCCTCTCGTATTTCTCGCTAATTATAGTATGCGTATGATGGATATCTGCCTTCACCCAGCAAAAACCTACAATTTCTTCACTGAAAATGTTGCCTGTCCTTACTAGGCACCATTAATTTGTGGGGGACCGCAAAGGCAACGCGACACAATATGAGCGACCTATTGAAGCCAACAACGAATGAGATTCCGTGCTTAGATTGTAATGAAACAAGAGAAATCAAAACTAGTCAAAACCGATTGAATGGAGTAAGTTTGAGGCTAATTATAGCGACCTTACTTATCTAGGCCGCAGCACTAAGCCTTCGTCCACTATCTGACGCCATTGGCACTACATCCTTACACAACAATAAACGCCGTTAGTATACGTAACGTCATTGCTATGATATTATATTGATAGCAACAATAACAAAACAGTAGTATTATAATAATAATGTTCTAGTAATATCATCGTCGTTTGCATCATGCAACCACTTTTGCCGAAAGCTTGAACATTTTATCATAGTCAACACTGCCATGTCCAGCATCTTTCTTCTTCATATACGAAATATTGTTGCTATGGTTCCTTCGTAAAAGGTCAGATCTACGATAGATCATACGTCGTCGTGCATAGATACGTTATACATTGTGGACCTGGTGCAGACGCTGAGGCGTGTCACATCAAGATTTCTAGGTTCTAGTAAATTGGCAAATACCTAATAATGAGTAGTTGATCTCATCCATCCACTTCTGACACCTCTATCCAGCTTAAATATCGTACCAATAATTAAGCCCAATTGCAAAGGAAAGAATGTTTTGGGCTATCGGGTCGAATTAGGTTTTTCCTGTACGTAAACACATTGGATACTATGTAACACCTTTGCAAAGTGTTAATCGAAAGACTACTACTGTTTGTGGCTATGACAATTGTATCTCTCAAAAGGAATCGTATGGTAGTCGTGATAGTGATGGTATCTCCATCGACTGTTTGGTTTCGTATGCGACATGCAGGTTTACTGTTAGTACAACGACAAAAAACAAACATATCAACGTTATTATTTTACCATGCGTCGATAATAACATGAAATCACTACGACAACACTAATTGTCTCTCACAATTTAGCTTAATTAGCTCAGCGAGACGTACAACTGATGGATTGGTAACAGGGGCTATACTATCAAAAGTACCAATCACGACCGTTTCCCGTCACAAATAATAGATCACAAAAATTACATCGACCGGGAAAACCGGCTGTCAGTAAGTTTCTTCTTTATGTTTCCGAAACCATTTTACGATACATTTCTAGCACTGACGACACCCGACTGAAGTCAAGAGATTAGATGACTTTGCATTATGCCCGACGTTTTGTCGAGCGAGCAATTCGTTCAAATGTAGAAATGAGACAAATATATCGATTAATGTCCATTATCGGTGTTGATCAGGCGTAAACGATGCACCAAACCAAAGCAAACAGCGACTCTCTGATAATCATCCCCAATTCAGTGCCACCCAGTTGGACAGCGCATGTCGACGTTTTACGCTTTAACTTAACAACTTATGTCAAGGACAAAAACTTGATATAGAAACCTTAACTGGCGTTAGTACGGCAATATCCTAGCATACATTTACATCTATCTAAAACATATAAACCTTGTACTGCGGTGCATTGTACCTACGGTAGCCGTTAATTACAAACTTGGTTAGTGTTCAAATTGACTTTTTTCATCCCCGATATTTGACCAGAAAACTTTGTTAGCACGCCTGCACTGAATTTACGCGGGGACCGTTTTGTCCCAGTTCATTGGTTAGAAATTTTGGTCTACAAAAATTATCAGACGGCCATGACCTCAGCAGCGGGTCAGCACTCGACCGCTGCGAATAACATCTGGGTTAATTTGATGCGGCAAGGCAACTATAGTGATACTAACACCGAAAGTCCAAATGCCCGGACTCGAGACGCATTCAGGATTCAGGACGCATGAAGAACATTCAGACTAGGAACACTGACATACTTTCCCATCTCCGACTGCTGCTTTCTATCCCCTGTACACCTACTATAGCAGACGAGAATCATCGGGAAACATTACATATCTTAGTCGCTAGCATGGCCGACGATCAACGAATTATTGGAAATCAGACAACCCCATCAACGCCATTCAAAGCCAAGCCATCTTCAATTTCCTTTCGTTAAATACATACAACGAACAAATGCACCGGCAGACAAAATAAAGCAGCTTATGTTCAATAAATAAGTGGCATTCGCTCGTGGCTCGTTACCTGGGTCTAGTTCACCCCCGCCGATGCTCAGCCTTGACATCCCCATATCATCACTGGGACCTGGAAAATATCAGTCGCAGCAGAGCGTTTCTGCCGATAATTATTCGCGTAGAGTCATATTGGTTTAATTAGTAGTTCGAGTTCGGTTTCAATCGTGTAGGCAGATATGATTGATGTGTACATACACACAGGACATACACTAAGTGGTTATTGGGATCACTGAACGGTAAAAAATTCGTAAAAATTGGTTATTTTACGTTCCTTCGGTCGTTCGTAGTGCACGAGTGTCCCATATTTATACTCTTTTCACTCGCTGTTATTGTTTTACGGTCAGGTAGATAAAGAATTACTTGTATCATTCATCGCACCCAGTTACTGACTTTTCCATTTCTCCTATACGTCTGATCTGTTCTGTTCTTAAGCTGTCATGCGTTTTATGTTCCATAAACGAGTTAGTCTTTTGGCGAACTCGATCTGCCAAGCAAATGTTACTAATTCTCGTAAGACGCATCCATTTGAAACGCACACAAAAGTCGCTGGTTGTGTCGCAGAAAAGCAAGATTATGTCTCATTGCACATATTAAATTATATATGAACGGGTTATTTATAGCCAGCTACCAAGTATATTTATGTCACACTAACTGCCATGCGCCACATGTTAACCCATTGTGCGGATCCTTTCAATATATGTATAATATTTCTTTAGCAAGAGATAAGTAAGCCGTCTAGTCGTTTAAAGCGAACTATCTTTTTCTTATAGTTTATAAAAAATCAAATTTTTCCCGTACATATGTTTTGTTACGCTATGAACTAGCCGGTGTTTCCTATGGGGTAGCGTATTGACTGCTACCTATTAGGTAATTAATGAGTTGAATGTAAGTTCTTGTGAAGATAAGCTAAGGCCAAAAGTTATACTTTATCGAATCGCACACAGTTTGCACGCGGACTTCCATCGTTTTCGGTTGTCTGTTCGTGTCCTGTTGACTTTGTAGCCCGGTTAGATTCTAAAGAGCTACATAGACGCGTAACCATTATATCTATCCACTCGAAAACAAAGAATACGCTAAAATGGATCAATGCATACACACACAATTTCAGGTCCTAGATCGACTTGTCGTCTATTTATCGCTCTAAAGACATTGGCTTCACAAACCGCGTTCAGCTCTGTTCGACGCGCACGTCTGCTGCGTATCGTAATTATAACGAGGCAAATGTACGGCAATAATGACAAGAGCTACTTTTCCGTCATGTCTTCCGAAGACAGAATCAGGTCAAACGTCTGCGAAGATCGAGAGGTAACGAAAAAAGCGGCCAGTCGTAAAGCGTCGCACCGCACTATTTAGCGCTAAAGCTAGCATAAATCACTAAAAAATTGGCTAGATTTTATCAGCAGCTATTGATTATTTAGTGCATATCAGCAATCTAACGTAGGCTCTTCATTCCAGCCCTTCTAACAACTCTCACGTGCAATTCTCAGGCACGATTTTCGCATTTGTTGGTATGAGCGTGCCAGGTGGAATGGAACGAAAGGAAAGTTGTCTTCTAAACATTGCATGCTATAAATACGATTTTATCTTACTTAATATTGTTATTAATGCACGTGTGTTTGCATTCGGGTGTATAAACATCTATTTCCGATTCGTACGAAAGAACGACTAGAGTGTTGTTTGTTAGAAGTAAATTTTCGAACTTACAGATCGTTCAGTTCGATGAAACTTTCGGCTGAACTCATAGCGAATGCCGTAATGCATACGCGTGTTTACGAGGAGATGAAAAGTAATGAAAAATATTTCAGAACATCATCCCAAGCTACTGGAATCACTTATCGATCTGCATGCTTACCGTGCCGCCCGTACGTCACGAGTCCATCACATTTTACCCCAACAGTTACGTTGGTGCTGTATTGTCACAACGCTTTTAAATTATGAAATGCCGCATAGTACAATGTGCTACGAAATCCTGTGGAAAATCGATGTGGTACGGTGGCTTGTCGTCGGGCTTTTATTTAGCAGCCGACTCGTGAGAGGTCTATCTGTTTTTCCTAAATAGTGCAGGTCTATTGCCATTCAATCAAAAAGCAAATGTTTTCTCCTGGCTTACGGAGCGAAGAAATGCATCTTAGTCGACTCCGAATGCACGAGGCTGTGCAATTGCGCCTTAGCAAAATCGTACCGTTACGTCCATTAGAAAACATTAATAACTCTAGCGTTACCGCTCTCAAAAGTCAACCACAGCTGCACTTCAATGTCAGGGCAAGTAGCAATACAAGCAGTCGAACTAGCAGCAGCTACATCAGAGAATAGACCAGCTGACGCTACAGCTGTTCCTAATGCGTGCTGGCTCAGTCTTCAGAGGCGACGTATTCGATCTGCGTGTCCCTTCCGCCATGGTATTCGAAATAGCGCAGGGCGAGTTGGGTACCAAAACCCAGCTGAGCTGGTGAGTTAGCACCGCCAGCAACCTACTACGCGTAACCGCATACTCATGCCTGGTGTTGACTTCTATCTATGAAAACTATCTTATTGCTTGTGATTATGCTTGCAGCTCTACGAGTGCCTCTTCAAGCAGTGCGTCGAACCCGAGCGTGAATCTGACCTCGATTCTGATAAACCAGGGACCCCCTCTCTCTCTCTCTCTCTCTCTCTCTCGCTCGCTCGCTTTCTCTCTCTCTCTCTCTGTTTTATTTAATTCTACGTTATAAATAATGAGGCAAGCAAAAAAAACGTGTTAGTGGTTAGCTGGCCGGAATGTTTAAAATCAAAATTATTGCTCGATACGGCGCGTATGCAGGTTGTAGAGGCAATATCTTATTGTTGGACTAACGTCATGTTTTTTTGTTTCACGTCAAAGGCTGTTTTTCGGTCGATGATACAGTGTCTCTTTTGGCTGTTAGGCCTGCAAAAGAGAGGTTTGCCGGTGGCAAGAAAATGTTCAAATTTTCGTAATGCTATATAAACAGTTTTTGCTTGCATAATAGCGTATGCATTGTGACACTCATGTACATCCACCTTAAAAGCGCAGCGAAATGTTATCGTACATAGCGGTAAATATACATATGGATCTTTATTTTTTACGCTCTGGCCTTTTCCTCATTCAAAATCCGACTCGGGTTTGACTGGCCTAAGATTTACGGCCAAAAATTGTGCCAGCAAGACTTTGGCTTCATACATAATATAAGCTAGCCACAAGTTATTTAACAAAAACTTAGGATAAGTTTCGCCATTTAAGCAAGCGAACAAACGTAAAGTTATACGCAAGTCTAAAGTGGTCAATGAAACATTCAAGCACCTACGAAACGGCATAAAGTATTTCACTGTATTCACGGTCCTGCAGCGACTTTGCATTTCAGGATTCTGAACCATGAAAACATGTTGAGGCCATGGCCTATGACCACCTTTAAGCAAGTATAGTGAGATGTAAACGAAATTCCGTCCACGACATTAAACATGCCACCGCTATCAATCTTGCAGGTCATTTGCTTTTTGCAGAAAAACCGTTTATGAACGTCGGTTTTATTGGTAACTAGTCCTTTTTCTAACAATTATATCTGTAACACCCCACACAAGGGAGCTTTTAGGTCCAATGTTCGGCACGGTAATGGTGGCACCCACTACGATACAGACGATATTATCATAACCATTTGCATACAGCAAAAACACTGTTTAATGTTCTCTAGATCTGTACGTATGTTCGAATGGTTGTCCCGAAGAACTTCAACTTTCGTCGTCTGATTCACGCCAATTCTGGGCCCTGGCTGAGCAAATAACATAGCAAATCGTGAAACGTAAACTCCGCTGCTACCACCACGAGAATTCCCTATCGATGATAACGACCCAGATCGAGCATCGGTAGCACACTTTTAAGTAACTGTTTGATTTCCAACTTCGTACATGAGTTCAGGGCTAACATTAACAGAAAGTGCATTTTTGCATCAATCAGGAGAAAGCAAATGATTATATTTCCTATATTAAGTGCCTGTTATTTTTGGCACTGTCGGCCTTATTAGTTTTTTTACTAAATTTTCATCATTTTTTTCTGTTTTGACGTAAGCTAATGATCTGATGGCATGGCTGAATATGGGCACAAATTGAAGCCGTTTTACTTGCTATGCAAATGCATATAATCGACTTATTGATTGTCTGTGTTGTGACGTAAGACTCCGTGACTCTCCGATAGCAAAAAATCGTATAACACAAAACATGTTCCGCCGTCATCCGGAATTCGGTCAGCGACAATGTCGCGTCCACCTGCCATTCATACATTACACAAACGACGTTTCCTTACTATAATTGGCACTTTTATACTTCCCAGTTACTTGTAAATGAACTCGTGAGATCTTCAGCACGAGAACGCGCAAACCCGATGTACTTATGCTTTATAGCGATCCCGTCACTAGCAAAATCAGCAAGATTCTATAAGTTGTAGCAATTATATTAAACGATACTCCTGAAAAGGGCGAGCAGAATCCTATGCGGGCATTAGCACCTCTCACTATGCACATACCCACCTAGCTGTTCATGAATTTCTCGAATTTAGTTCTATTCTTGCTCATATAAATATTTACTTGAAAAAGTAAGACTTTTTCTTATCATCCGTTACCCGACTGTTGATGGCCTTATTTAAAAGTATGCTGGTAAATACACCTGACTGATATACCAAATTACAGTTAATCTGATCTGTAGTTATGGCGAAGACGCCGATTCCAACACTCGTTTTGCTGGGCAAATGCCTCCTCGCGATTCCCTTCCAGCGCCCTTCGGTGACACCTATACTACTAGTCGACATGTATTCTCACATCGAAGAATGCATATATATCACCCTTGTACGAGGCAGAATATATGCCACACATGTTGGAATCTGTATCATTTTCGTACACTTGAGAAAAATACACAAGTGTCAAGTACTGTTGCAAATCAGTCATCACCACAGACAGCCACGTACTTCTTAGTTTTTCGGTTTCAGCTCATTGTGATGGATGTGTGGGCAAACAAAAATCAAAGTGTCCTAATGCATAATTGTTATGCCTAATACTGAAAGGAAACTTGAACAGCACCAGCTGA